CAATAAAGCTATGGATTCTAAAACCTTTGATCTGTTCAGTGTCTTACCCGTATCCATTTTCCGATAGAATTACAATAACCACAACCCATTCAATTTTTGGGTATATTTATACTGACCCGGGATAATTAAATTTCGATTTGAAAAAATATTTTCTATAGTTATAATCCACACAACTATCCCATAAACACCATGTCAAGAATTGCAACAAGATATATACAGTCAAGCCTCGTTTCAACGAATCTCTGGGGATGGTCATTAAAATTTGTTGAAACAAAAGTTCGTTGAAACAAAATTTTAACTATTTAGTAATGATCGACACACATAATAAAAAAAAATTTTTTATTTGAAATAACCAGTAATACATGTTTGTTTTTGGTTTCTAACATGATATAATGTCACTTTTCTTTTTAATGATTTAAAAGCTTTTAATTCATTATAATCTATTTCTAAATTGTTCTGTTCAAGAAAATTATAAACAGTTTCAAAAGCATTGACTGCATCTTTTGTTGTAATATTGGGAATATTTGTATCATGTTCTGTAACTTCTTCCTCTTCTTCAACTTGTGTAAGAGAGTTAATAATCTCTTCCTCAGTTACCATTTCACTATTAGTTGACTTATCATCAATTGATACATATTCCTGTGCAGTCAATGGTGAACTGAAAGGAAATTTATTTATTAAATCTTCAATATCACTTTCTAAATTAATTACATCCTCAACTTCTTCTGCTACATTGTCTGACAATGGAAGAATGCCAGTTTTCCTCCAGCAATTATTAATGGTAATTGAGGTAACATTATCCCAAGCTTCTGCAACAAATTTTATAGCTTTTTTAATATCAAATTCTTTGGGTTTTTACCCTCTTGTTTCTTGTCATAAATTTTAATCTTTTTTTTCAATAATAATTTTTGATAATTAGCCTGTAACATGGTATAAAGGTAAGTCAAAATATAACTTTTTAATCAATTTATATCAAAATATTTATTTACAAACAAACCTTAAAAGAATGTATTATCCCAGCATCACATGGTTGTAGAAATGCGGTTGTGTTTGGAGGCAAATAATGCACATTTACATTCATTAACTGCACATTATCCATTAAATTATGGGTTGGTGCATTGTCAACAAGCAATAATATGTTTCTATTGGCAATCTTCATTTTATTATCTAATTTTTTTAAATAGTCATTCCATATGGAGACTTGCATCCATGCTTTGCTATTCCAATAATATTCAACTGGTAAAGACTTTTTGTTAATATTTTTTAGTGGTCACGGATTCTCATATTTATGGATAAATAATGGCATTAACTTTTCACTACCAGTTGAATTACAAGTTAATAATATTGTTACTCTATCTTTATTTTGTTTTGTACCTGAGATAGGGCCTGTAGATAATCCACGAGATGGTTCCATTTTCCAGAAAAGACCAGTTTCATCACAATTAAAAATATCCTCTGCATGATACTCTTTAAGGATATTTTTTAAGTCTTCTCTCATTATCGGAATTTGTGTAATGGGTGCACTTTGAGATTCTCCATGTTTGTTATATTCCTGAATTGAATATCTCTGCTTAAAATTATGAAGCCAACCAGATGATGCTTTGAAGCTATTATTCCCCAATAATTCCGAAAATTTTAAAGCTTTTTCTTGAATGATAGAACTTGTAATAGTTAAATTGCATTCAATTGCTTTCTCAATCCATAAAATTAAAGCCTCTTCAATATTTACAACAGGAGAAGCATGTGGTTTTTTTAATTTTGCTTCATAAGAGTTTGGATCAATTTTGAGCCATTTATCAGATGTTCTCAATATATCAGTAACTTGGCCTGAACTAATTCCATATTTATCCGCCAGTTCAATATTTTTTGGTTGAGGTTTAGCTTTTTTTAATAAACAAATTTCGCGTTTTTGCTCTGCAGTGATATATACCCATTTTTTAGAAGAAGATTGAGACATTTTATCAATGATATCAAAAATTATTTATTTGGTTATTAATTATGTGAAATCAGAAGCAATTATTTATTTGTTATTAATTGTGTAGGAATTATTAATTTTAAAAAACCCAATAAAAGAAAATTTTGCTTTTATTTATACATTTTAGAAATACTCAAATGTTTGATTAAAACAATAGTAAGAATATTTTATTTGAATGTTCTTTATTTTCTTTAATTTGGGTTTGGAGAATTATCACTATTTGTGTAAAATCATTATTTAGTAAAGTGGATTTTATTTTGTTTGATTAATTAGTATTTAAT